GTAAGTTGAAAATATCCAAAGTGTTGCGTATCTCATTTAATTTATTAAACACTGTACTGTAAGTATAAAACAGAATAACTATGATTACTGTAAGCAGAGTTTCTACTAAATGCACATCACTTTTCACAGCACTGTGAAGCGAAAAAAACGTTAAGTTGAACCACTCTAAGTCAGGACTCATCTGACTGGGACTACAGGCATATGCCCCTGCGACTGGCTAGTTTTTTTTTTTTTTTTTTTTACAGAGGTGGGGGTATCACGTTGTTGCCCAGACTGGTCTTTAACTCCTGGGCTCAAGTGATGCAGATGCAGAAATTCTTAACAAAATTTTAGCTAATCACCCAATATATAAAAATAGTAATACATCATGACCAAATGGATTTTATACCAGGTATACAAAGGTGGTTTACAATTTGAAACTCAAACAATATAATTCAAAAACTAGCAAACCAAAAAGGAACACCACAATTCCCTCAATAGATAAGGAAAAATCATGTTACAAAATTCAACATTCGTTCCCAATAAAAATTCTCAGCAAACTAGAAATATAATACCTGATAAAGGACATCTACAAAAACCCTACATTAACATCTTATGTAAAGATGAAAAGCTGACAACTTTCCCCCTAAGATCAGGAACAAGACAAAAGGTGTCTACTCTCACCATTTTTATTTAACATGGTATTAGAGTTTCTAGCAGAGGCAAGCAGGAGAGTGGGGAAGGAACATGGGAAAGCATTGAGCTTGAAAAGGAAAAAGACTGTCTTTACTCACAGACATGATTTCTTTGTATGACTATTCAATGAAATCGACAAAAACACTACTAGATGTGTGATTTTAGTAAGGTTATAGTTTTGATAGAATATCAGTACACAAAAATAAGCTGTATTTGTATACACTAGCAACTAATAACTGGAAACTAAAATTTAAAAAATTACAATAGCATCAAAAAATAGAAAATACCTAGGAAATAAATGTAAGACCTATACACTGAAAACCGTATGACATTGCTCAAAAAAAATTTTTTAAGGGACATACGCCATGTTCACAGGTTAGAAGACTAAATCATATCATCAATTCTCCCCAAATTAATCTACAAATTGAAGGCAATTCCAATCAAACTCCTAGTAAGCTTTCACGTAGAAATTGACAAGATGATTCTAAAATTTATATGGAAATGCAAAGAACCTCCAGTGTCAATGAACTTTGTAAAAAAAGAACCAAGTTCAAAAACTAATACTACCTGATTATAAAACTGTAAAACATTATAAAACTATAACACTTATTATAAAACTACAGTAATGAAGATGTTGTGGTACTGGCATCTACATACATAAATCAATGGAACAGAATAGTTCAGAAGTAGGCACATGTTTACGGACAACTGATTTTCTGCAAAGGTAAAAAAACAATTCGGTAGATAATAGTCTTTTCAGTCAGGCGCAGTGATTCACGCCTGTAATCCCAACATTTTGGGAGGCCGAGGCGGACAGATCATGAGGTCAAAGGATTGAGACCATCCTGGCCAACATGGTGAAACCCCATCTCTACTTTAAAAAAAAAATTAGCTGGGCGTGGTGGTGCACACCTCTAGTCCCAGCTACTCAAGAGGTAGAGGCAGGAGAACTGCTTGAACCCAGGAGGCAGACGCTGCAGTGAGCTGAGATTGCTTCACTGCACTCCAGCCTGGCGACAGACCGAGACTCTGTCTCAAGTCTTTTTAACAAATGACGCTGAGAAAATTAGCTATGCATTGGAAAGAAAAAGAGCCATGCAAACTTTAATTCATATTTCACACCATACATAAAAATTAACTCAAAATGAATCACAGACTTAAACGTAAACTCTAAAATTATATAACTTCCAGAAGAAAGCACAGAAGAAAATTTTTGTGACTTTCAGTTGGGTAAAGATTTCTTACATATGATCCCAAAAGCATAATCCATAAGAGGAAAAAACTGATAAACTTCATCAAAATTTAAATTCTCCCCTGATACTACGTACAGAATGGAAAAAAGAGACAGGATGAAAGTATGTGCAAATGATACCTGATTAAGGACTTGTATCTAGTATATACAAAGACTTCTTAATACTCAATAATAAGAAAAATAACCCCCAATTTAAAAATGAGCAAAAGATTTAAAAAGACACTCCTGAAAATAAGCGAGAGACAATAATCAACATCATTAGTCCTTGGGGATACTCAAAGTCATGAGGTGTTATAACACACCTATTAGAATAAATGAAATTAAAAAGACTGATTCATAACAAGTGTTGGCAATGAGTTAGCAAGGATATAGAAGAACTCATACACTGCTGGTAGGAATATGCAAAGGTACAAGTACTTTGGAAAACATTTTGGCAGTTTGTTGAGTTAAATATATACCTATCATATGATCCGACCATATTTACCCAAGAAAAATGTCCCCAGGGATTTGTCTATGTACTTTGTCTGTAAAACATACAAACAAATACTTTGTATGTATTTGTTCATAGTACACTGTCTGTAAAACCCAATGTCCCATCTATAGATCAATGGATAAACATAGTACATGGTATGTACTATGGGAAAAACCCAAAAAAATTTGGGAAAAACCCACATTTTCCCAAGGGACAAACAAATAGCCATATAATGGAACACTACTTAGCAATAAATAATTACTGACACACAAAACATAAGTACCAAAACAATTATGCTGAGTAAAAGCCGCCAGATAAAAAAACAGAACATACTGTATGATTCAATTTCTACACAATTTTGGAAAATGTAAACTAATCCACAGTTTAGTTAGCAGATCAGTGTCATGGTCTGGAGAGGAATTACAAGTGGAGGAATTTCAAAGGAGCACAGGAAAAACTTTTGGGCATGACAAGATACTCCATTATTTTGATTCTGCTGACGGTTTCACAGGTGTGTATACACACGTCAAAATGATCAAACTGTACACTTTTACTACATGCAGTTTAATTTTATGTAAATTATACATGAATTAAGCTGTTCAAAAAAAAACATAAAAAGGGTAGGCAAAATGAATGATGCAACGGAGGGTATCACTATTTTACTCAGGTAGTCAGTGAAGGACTCTCTGATATGATATGGTGACGTTTAAGCAGAGATTTTAATAAAGTGATATTGGAGATATTCCAGGCATTCAGGCAGAAGGTGGGCAACAAATACAAAAGTTCTCAGGTCACGGCACTTAGCATATAATTGTTGCTGAATAAACATTTGCTGAATGAATGGTTTGAAGTTTAGGAGATTTGGAAATATGTAGACTTAAAAGGAAAATGGTCAGTTTAGTCTACAACAGGCTAAAGTTGAGGGAATGGTTAAGATGCCCAAAGACAGAGATGTTCTGTACAGTTGGATAAAAAGGAGCTGATACCGGGTTGATAAGTAATGACTATGAATACTGAAAATACAGGGCAGGATGATTCAGACTTAAAAAAAAAAAAAAAAAAAAAAGAGTCAAGAACTGTTATTAGGGTAAAAGAAAAACCAGTAAAAAATAAAGGATGAATCAATATAAACACAAGAGGAACAAAACAGCTCAGAAATATAGAAGCAAAAGATCATTTAAAAATGAAAAAGGAAAATGTGCCAATAGCTAAAGTGAGGTCAAGGAAGACCAAGATAGAGGTTGCCTATTTTACTTCTATAGGACCTACTACAGTATCAAACACATGTGGAGAACTAATAAATATTTGTGGAATGATGGAATATATGACCAGAATCTCACTTTTTAAAAAGTTCACCTATAGATTAGAATAAGCCTAAATTTTATCTTCTCAGGAATCCTGCCTTTAAATACTCACTAGCCATGACCTAAACTTCACTTCTAAAACTTAATAAGCCTTTTGATTGCTCATTTTGTTTTGAGTATATTTTTGAAAAATATTACTCATCTATTCTTATGCTTTTAGTATCTCCTTTGTCTTAAAAAAGAAGTGGCAATACAAGAGGGTTGCGGGCATGGAAGAGAGTTGATAAAAGAACTGCTCATGCCTCAAATTCTGGTTACCACTGCATCTGAATTTTTCCTGAAACCAGATACCTACACTGGCCCTGAAAAGCCTAAACTGCATATTAAAGACAGTTCGATGTTTAAAAATAACCTATTTTAGATAGCTTAAGTGGTAAACAAACCAGGAGACCTTCACTAAAAAGCGTAAACAAACCTGAAACCAACCTAAAGGAATTGCCATAATAATGTATCATTTCATTTATAAAACAATGACTGTGGTACAAGTCTGAGGAGTTTAATGACAAAAAGAAAAAACTTAAATGAACACTGGGTTCAAGGGAATACAGCCATCTTAGGATGAGATACACTTCTACATATATGAAAGCAGAATGACAAGTAGGGGAGAAATAACACTTGAAATAATAGATGTGTGCGTGGAAGGAGGCAACAGAGGGTAGAAAGTTTGAATTTAAAGAGATGGGATATTACAGGAGTGAAGGAAATGTAGTAGATATGCTGGAGTGAAGTGGAGTGCTAATGAAAGAGGGACTCCACATCTCAGTAGGTCAAGGGAAAGAAAGTCTCAGCAATAATTATCAGGAAGGTGATTATCATAGAAATCACTAAGGTTACCAGAGACTGGGAAGAAAAGAGATGAGGAGTCAAAGAGGGGGAAATAAATAAATTTATTAACACTGAACTGTATGTACACTCATAAATGGTAAGGATGGTAAAATCTGTATGTATATTTTACCTCAGTAAATAAATAAAGTCTGAGAGTAAAGACCAGAGAGAGAGAGAGAATATCTATATGCTATTGTCTTATCTTAAAGCCATGTTGCATATGATAGAGTAACAATGATCAACTGTGTTATTAAACAGCATGAGCCTCAAAAGTGATATACTTTTTGATAACAAATGTACCATAAACATTCCCTCATGAAGGAAACATGAGTCAAGTTAAAAAAAAAAAAAAGTTCACCTAATTGAAAGTGAACAAACAGTATGGTACTTCTGCAGCAGTCAAGTAACTTACCTGGTCATATCCATAAGGCCTCTGCTGGGGTGGCTGTGGTGGTCCAGGCTGTGTTGGTCTATATCCCCCATACTGTTGACCTTGTCCCTGTGGGTAGTTAGGATACTGAGGACCTGGACCACCCTGTGAAGGACCTGCAAATAATTAGCATAGCAAAAACCCATATAAAAAGATAAGTCCCCAGAACTCAGGAAAGGATTTGAACTAGAGATGTTACTATATATATATATATATTTTTTTTTTAGATGGAGTTTCGCTCTTGTTACCCAGGCTGGAGTGCAATGGCGCGATCTCGGCTCACCGCAACCTCCGCCTCCTGGGTTCAGGCAATTCTCCTGCCTCAGCCTCCTGAGTAGCTGGGATTACAGGCACGTGCCACCATGCCCAGCTAATTTTTTTTGTATTTTTAGTAGAGACGGGGTTTCACCGTGTTGACCAGGATGGTCTCGATCTCTTGACCTCGTGATCCACCCGCCTCGGCCTCCCAAAGTGCTGGGATTACAGGCTTGAGCCACCGCGCCCGGCCAGTTACTATATTTTTCTATCTAAACTAAAAAACATAGTTTGGTACCTTGATTTCCTCGAACGCTTTCTGAAATAAATTTGAATGGTAATAATAAGAGTAAAAATACTGTAATGCTACTTCATTGTAACTATTGTACTATGCCCTCGTCATTACAAAATGTATTTCAAAATACATAAAAAAGACTCAGGGAGTTGTAAAGCAGGTTAACTCCACGATGATAAGAAAATTAATCAATGTATCTAGTAGAATTGACAAGTGCAAGCAAAAGGAAAAAGAGAAAGAGGCAGATTCAAAGAAAAATACTGAAATAACTTCTGAATAAAGTGGAGGAATAAATGATATTTACAACCGTATGACTCCAGATTTATATTTGCAGTCACCAAAAGTATATACTATGCATTGACATATTTATTACCACAGTATTTTAAAATAGAAACTAAAAACCTGAAAACCCACAGGTTACATGTGAAAAAACTTGATTTAAAAGTGACACTGAGAATTAATCACCTTTAATGCTTTATCCATAAAAATAATTTCAAATTCCAGAGATGGCAAGGGACTGATTTGGTTTGCTAAAGAAACATGTCTGTTTTATAAACTCTACTACTTTCCACTGTAAAGAACGCTTTAAAAAGCATAAACTGGGCCAGGCACAGTGGCTCACGCCTGTAATCCCAGCACTTTGGGGGGGCTGAAGCAGATGGATCACCCGAGGTCAGGAGTTAGAGGCCAGCCTGACCAGTATGATGAAACCCCGTCTTTACTAAAAATACAAAAATTAGCCAGGCATGGTGGCATGTGCCTGTAATCCCAGCTACTTGGAAGGCTGAGACAGGAGAACTGCTTGAACTCGAGAGGCAGAGGTTGCAGTGAGCCAAGATCGCGCCATTGCACTTTAGCCTGGGCAACAAGAGTTAAGACTCTGTCTCAAAAAAAAAAAAAAAAGGATAAGCTGAAAAGCTTTGACATTTAAATGTTTTCTATCGTAGCCATTCAAATCCTGCCATAAAAACACTGACTTCAGAGAAAAGTATCAAAAGAGAACAGTAAGTTTTCAAGCTTAAATGAATTCCATCAGTCTATTATTTATTTAATTATTAATATATTCAATTATTAAAACTTTATTTCCATTAGAAAGAAAGGTTTTTTTTGACAACAAGCCTATGGACAAACAAAATAGAAATTTATCTTAGGATTCCTGATGTCTAACAAAACAGCATTTAACTATAATTCAAAAATTAAGATTTCACCCTCTCTTACCAATGAAGATATTTCTCTTGAGTCAATGAATTTACCTGATTTAGCTGCATTACATCTGTTTTCATGCAAATGCAATAAAACCAGAAAACTGTATTTACTCAAAGTATAAGTACTAAGTAGTCACAAAATGAAAAGGCCATCTGGGAAGGGCAAGAAAATTCCTTTGTGGGAAAAAAAAAATCCATGGAATATTTCTAAAGTCACATCTAGAATTTGGAAATCAGAACTTATCATTTTTAGAAAAATACCTGACTCCCCAATATCTGATTGAGTTTCAACACATATGCTGAGGGGGCAAGGGAATTTCAGTCTGACCGTAGTTCTAAGATTTGCTATCACAGGTAGATAGAGATGCCCACAGCAACAGCAGAGCTTAAGTCAATGACTAAAAATAATAAGACATTACTGATGTGAAAAAGAGACCCTATTAGGAAAAGATGGAGTCAGTATTCTTAAGCAGCTACTTTTCTTTCAATAGAGCAATATCTAAGAAGGTTATAGTAGCCTGAGAGTGAAGATTAAAGTAACAGGCCTAATCATTCCCCACTCCCTATCTAATAAGTAAATTTTAAAGTCAGATATCCAGGTAGTAGATATTGTGAGTATATAATAAGAAAATACGGCTATACTTCTCCCAAATTCTGCATGATTCACAGCTACAATAAACTCATCCCGATGGATATGTATATTGCTATTTAGGAAATGCCAAAACATTTCCTTTATCCATTCTGAACAGATTTTGTTTGTACTCACACGCACAAAAAAAATCAATGTGTTTAAAAAAAAAATTGTATCGGCCATTAATTTTTAAAAATAAATTTGCTATTCAGATTATATACATACGTTCAATAATTACCCAATCATCAGTTTTCCAAGCACATGCAAGGCTACTAGTTAGGCATGACAAATAGGTCTAAGGATTCATTTTTCTTCTTTTAAATGACTTCACACCTTACCTTTGGTCAATGAACAACCTCTAGTTTGTAGTTCTTTTTAAAAAGGTTACTAGTTTATCTAATAGCAACATTTTAAACCAACACTTTAATAGCAGACTAGGCTAAAACTGAATTTTCAAGTAATAATTATTGGATACGTAAGTACTAAATATTAAATACCCACTTCCACATTTTAAAACAATCATCACCACATTTTTTGGTGATAAAAACAAACTGTACAAAGCTTTACCGTAGCCCTGCTGCTGTCCTGGGTAACCCTGCTGCCCTGGGTACTGCTGCTGCTGTGGTGGATATCCCTGTTGTGGAGGTGGTCCCTGGTATGCATCCTGCTGTTGGCCATACTGTGAATTTCCTACAGGGTAATTAAAGAAGAGGAAAAAAACTGAGAAGTTTGCTTAATTAACTTTTTTCCCTCTAAGATGCATAGCCAACAACACAAGAACAAAATGAAATGCCATATTGATTTTTAGAAGTTAACAAAACAAAGAAAAAACTCAAACCAAACAGAAGGATTTCGGCCAAACAAACTGCAGTTAAAGCCAATTTTGCAAGGTTGAACTGCAGCATTTTCAGCGTCTCTGCCATACGAGCATTACATTTACTGGAACATCACAGTCATAAGATCATGACTATGCTAAATAAAATAAAAAAGACAAAATTAAAGACAGCTACAAGAGCACACACTAGCTACACGAGATCAGCAAGCTGTTTCCTAAAGGCACTATACTTATATTTAAAATTATACATATGTAAACACACACGAGAAAAAAAAGTTGGATTGATGGATTTATGTTTGAATAGAAAATTTCCACCGAGGAAAAAATTATCTTTAATGTTTTAGTCTTTTTATTTTTGTTAGAAATGGCAAGTCATGGTTATACATTTTAAATATTTGTAAGGAAATTATTTTGATTGTTTTGGGCTCCTTCTAACTTTCAAGACAGCCAGCAACTAGTATTCTACAAGAGCTTTGCATGGGTAGAAGTTGTCTTATGCAAGAATTTTCATTCCTGTAGAAGGGGATATATGTGTATGTGTGTGAAGGTATATAGATACCTCCTTCGTAGTAATGTTGTGAGGAATCCTCATAAGGCCTATCGTAGCCTTGTTCAGGATACGACGGTTGCTGATAACCGTAATCATTATGACCTACATCAATTCGACAAGAGACAGGAAGAAACGTTAATGGCCACTGAGTGAAAACCCTAAAAATATTTAAACTTTCAGATAAAATTGAAAAAAAAGAAAAAGAAATGGAACATAAAAAATTATTTCAATTGCATTAGCCAAAGATTTACCAATGTGATTGTTTTCATATTGAGATAACGTGCAAATTGTTTTAAAAGCAAAAAGCAGTAGTTTTAGAAACATTACACTTATTGTCTTAAATCTGATAATCCTCATCGAGGGGGAAAAAAAACACCTTTATCTCCCATTAATAAAAAAAAAGAATAAAAGTATCTAGGTCTTTCACATGTAAATAACCTTAATTAAATCAGAATGAACAAAGGAAGCAATTATCCTATTTTGTCAAACACCTGTTCTGCTGGTCTCCAATTCCACAGCATACGCTAAAAACAATGCAAAATATAAAAGAGCTCTATAAGTTTTTCCCATGATTTCACATTCTAACATTTACTTGCGTAAAGTTAAATACCTCAAAGTATCTTCAGATGGAAAATTATATATCTTAATACTGCCATTTTGGAAACTTTTAGAAAATATTTCAAGTATCATAAATATCCATCTTCATAAAATTAAAAATGTGTTGAGTGTTAGAGTATATCTTTAGTTTTAAAGCACAATACATTTTACCTGCGAGATAACTGGACTCTAATGAAAAATAATACTCTTTAATTTTTACTAAGAAAATGTAGCAAATAACCTTTTAGTTACCCAAAATCTGAACTCAACTGTACAAAAATGCCTAATTAAGAACATAGGAATAAAGTTATAAATAAACATTATACACAGTGCTCTAGTATTCTAATGTTCCCACACCACCTCATAAATACCTACATCGAGGGTTGGCAAACTATGGCCTGCAGTCTTACTGTGGCCAGTGGCATGTTTTTGTAAACAAAGTTTTATTGGAATACAGTCATGCCCTTTCATTTCAGTATAGTGCAAAGCTGCTTTCATGCTACAATAAGAGTTCAGTAGAAGACCATATAACCCACAAAGACTAAAGTATTTATTATCTGGCCCTTTAAAGAAAAAGTTTGCCAATTCCTAATCTATATATTTACTAACATAAATATCCAGATATGAGAGAAAAGAGCCAATGTTGTTTATAAAAATTGTCAATATAAATAGAATACTCTAAATGTCAGATATAAATCAATACACACCTATGCAAAAATTATACTCTTCAAAATTAAATCCACTAATAAAATGAATTAAAGTAACCTTAATGTTTTGCTATTTACAAAATAAAACACCTATATATTTTGAACAGAAAGATCATACTTATGACAATATAAATTTCACATTTCAAGAGATACCCAGGATCAAAATAACAATGTCAAATTTAACTCTTTAAAATATAATTAAAAATAAAAAAATAAAAGTCATTTATTTTCAGCAGACTTAACACACATAATTTAACAAAGTAGATTTCACCTCTTTAAAATATGTATAGTCTACTACAACCATACTAAAGCTTTTAATTAAAAAACTTAATACCATTTATTTTGTTTTGTTTGTGAAAAGAAAACAAAAAAAAATCGACATTCTGAATAATGCAGGGCAAGAAAATCTGAGAATAAAGTTTCCTAACCAGAATTATCCATACATATAATCACTATCACTAATAAACATTTATTGTATGTAATATTTAATAGGTGAGTATTTGCTCTGTGTGTACAGTCAGAGCCTCTGCAGTAAAAACCAATGTCCTTAAGTACAAATGTACCTTTATGCTTCATGTATTAACAAAAAATGACAGGTAAGGTTTTTTTTCAAATATACTAAACTGTATTTTCTCGCAAGCTGACATGGGCTGCTAGTCAATGGCTGCTAATACTTTAGCTTTAAGTTTCTTAGTTTCTCTGTTCAGTAATTCATATTTACATCAAAGGAGCATATATATATGTGTGTATATATATATATATATATATATATATAAATCTTTTGGTAAATCTTAACAACTCATCATTTTGCAATGTATTTTTGAATTATTTTTTCTTCTACATTCTATTATAAAATTTTCAAGCATACAGAAAAACTGACAAAACTGTACTGTGAAAACCTACTTGTATGCTTAGATTATTAGTGTTCAAATTTTCCTACAGTACACTGCATCTTACCAATTTTTCCACAAGCCACCATCTACAAAAAACAAAACAAAAAACCCTAACTAAAAATCTTACTTCCAAATGCCTTTCCCATTCTACTCAATCTCTATATGGCCACATTACGGATATAATTTAGTGTCCCAAATTTTCCTCAAAGACAAGCACTAATGTAAACCATAGTTTGTTAAGAAGTATGCAACATTAATTAAAATGATGAGACTTGGAAAAATAACTCAAGAACTATATTCTCTATGTATCTGTACAATGAATAAAAGTCAACTAATGGGTAAACTTTATGGCATGTGAATTTTATCTTAAACCTCTTATTAAAAAAGAGAAAATCAATAAACATAGGCTTTGGCTGAAATCAAACAACCCTAAAAATATAAAAGGATCCTCTTTTATAAAAGGATTCCAATGACAGATTGTGATTCCTGATGGTACTAATGGAATAGCTACAAAAAATATGCTTTTAATTAGATTATAAACTAATGCTATCATTGGTATTTTAGAGTACTGAAATGTTTCTAAATTTAGAAGAAACAAATTGTTAGTTCCTTCATCCTCATTAAAATGTTTTATATAACTCCCTACATTAATATTCGACAGGGACAGAAAGTGGGAAAGTTAACATCAGGAAAGATTACCATCAGGGTAATATTGCTGGTTCATGCCTTCTGGAGGACCTTGTCCACCATGACTGTATTGGTCCCCATAATAGTCTTCCTGGCCTGAGTACTGCTGTGGTGGGCCTGAAAAAATACAACCAGTCAAGATACAAATAATGTGTTCTCTATGTTATCAAAGATTTTCTAATTTGATATTATGAAAGATTATTTCTCAGCTATAAATTCCCCTCTCATGATGTGGCATTTCAGATACTTTTAGCTATTCATATACATACGCATACACATACACATACACACAGAGCAGCTTCACTATACCACATTTACTAAAATCAATGTTAAGATCATACATGCAGTATCAAAAAATACCAACTCAGAAAAACAAATGCTAACTTCTTAAAAATAGGTTCAAATTGGTAGCAAATTAATTTCCTTTTTAGTTTGATGCTACAGTGCTTTTAAGTAAAATTGGGTTTATTCATGACTCTATATTTAATAACTTCAAAAACAAAACAGTATTTTCTCTTGTGAATTAATGAGCGTTTGACATAAAATTTTATGACGTAACCTTTTCCCAGAAAATAAAAGAAAGCTGTGTATAAGGACTTCCAATCTACTTTGTGGCCCCTTTGTACCTACTAGAACCCTACCTTTCATTAACAAAAAAAAAAAAGGAACAAAAAGCCCTGACTTTGTCTAGATTAAAAGGTCATTAAAATTTAAAGCCTTTCAATTACATTAGGTAGCAAAGTTTCCAAATGGAATCTTACCCTGTTGAGGAGGTCTATAGGGAGGAATCTGTCTCTGACCCATCATATGATTGCCTTGGTTAACTTGACCCATCATTCCCATAGGTGGCTGCTGTCCTTGGTAATGCTGTCCACCTCCCTGTGGCATACTATATTGCTGAGAAGGAGGCTGCTGATGCATCATTGGACCTGAAACAAGACACAACATTATATACATAATTTTTTGTATATAACTTTAACCTCTCAAGAGAAATAAGATACTCTTTTATTATCATATGGGCCCCAAAATATGTAATTAAATGCAGTAAAAACTGATTTCAAATAATAAAAACTAGTTTTTGAATTAAAACTCATATGCCTAAAATAATCTGCAAACAAAGAAAATAACCAATCCATGGTGATTAACTTGAAATCCACTGGAAGATGATTCTTTTTTTTTGAGCCAGGCTGGAGTGCAGTGGCGTGATCTCGGCTCACTGCAACCTCTGGCACCCTGGTTCAAGCAATTCTCCTGCCTCAGCCTCCCAAGTAGCTGGGACTACAGGTGTGCGCCACCATGCTCAGCTAACTTTTCTATTTTTTTAGTAGAGATGGGGTTTCACCATGTTGGCCAGGATGGTCTCGATCTCTTGACCTCGGGATTCACCCGCGTCGGCGTGAGCCACCGTGCCTGGCCTGGAAGATGATTCTTAGTCATTTTTTAAAACAAAATGGATACAATATATGAACACCCTGAATGTATTTTCCATTACATACTATCTAATATTTATCTATACCATCTTTCTTGAGAAGGTATCATCAGCATTATGCTACACTGAAAAATACACCAAAATTAACTTTACAAAAATCACACAGCAAATCAGTGGTCAAACCAAGGGAAGGAAACCAAATCTCTAGATTTTTACTTTGTTCTCTTTTTCTATACTCACTCATTATACAATGGTAGACAGGTAAACCATACAAACACTTAACAGAATTTCACGAGCTTTAATTTTAGGACAAAATCTTAAAGAGCAGAATTCTATCAGTAGAATTTCATAAGCTTTAATTTTAGGATAAAATCTTAAAGAGTCTTCTTTCCCGTTTGCAACTACAAGATTTATAACCTAAAAAGATCTCCTTGAAATCAAATGGCTATAGTGCTTAATATGTTAAAAGACACATACATTACATAAAGACTCTCAAACCCCTAAAAATACCTAAACAGAGACATGAAACAAGCTGTAGGCTAAGAAATCTGAACTACAGAGTAGGCTAAGAAATCTGAACTACAGAGTTTCCAAAGTGAGCAATACTGAGGTAGCCAAACTACCACTGATATTGTACCACACTGGCAACAGTAAAAATATATCACACAAAACAATTACCAATGGCCATAAAGTCCCACGTTGCCATCTAACAAAGCAGCTTCTTAGAGGTTTACTGGGCCAAGTTATGGTATGGGGAACTCATCATTTTGCCATTATCAACATTACTGTCTCAGAAGTATGGATGAGTCCTTTCCCAATTTGCTGCTTATAAGTTACATACTCCTCCTTGCGTTGACTTGGAGAAAATTTAAGTACAAAAGGTGAGATACTTGAGAGCCTAGAAAGATTTCACAGGCCAAACTTCTCAAATAAGCCAAAAGTTCACTATCTAATTACTTAAATAATTAAAACCAAAACAAGTCCACCTCTTGAAACATATTACTGACCTATAACAGCAGCAATGATGTAAGCAGTAAGACTTCACATTTCCAATCTGAAGAAATGTTTTATCTGAGGGAGTTCTTTATCAGAGCTGTTTTTCTCCTATTTACCTTCTGTGCTTTGTTCTTTTCGCCCTTCTCTCCAATTTTATTATTATAAATGTGAATGTAAGCCTCTCAAAAACTCTGGGACCTTTTTTTCAACAAGGAAAATACACTCTTAGTAGAGACAAAGTGGCTGGGTGAAAGTAGAGGCAAAGAGAACTTATTATCAAATGTACTCTGCACTGCCAATTACACGCTTTCACCGTCATTTCGTATAAACTCCTAACAACTATCAGAGGTAAGAACCCTAATTCTCAATTTTTAGCCGAGGAATCTAAAAATCAAGATTACACAGCTCATAGATACAAACTAAGAATAAGACAAACCTCAAATTCGATTTTGAAGCGTATGTTTGCTCTATTTTTTATTGCCTCATTTAAAAATAAGCTGTAACAAATTCTGTACGCCAGGAACGGTGACTAACACCTGTAAAGGACTTTGAGAAGCCAAGGTGGATGGATCACCTCAGGTCAGGAGTTTGAGACCAGCCTGACCAACATGGTGAAACCCCGTCTCTACTAAAAATACAAAAATTAGCCAGGCATGATGGTGCATGCCTGTAATCCCAGCTATCTGGGAGGCTGAGGCAGGAAAATCGCTTGAACCCAGGAGGCAGAGGTTGTAGTGAGCTGAGATCACATCATTGCACTCTGGCTTGGCTGATAAGAGTAAAACTCTCTGGCTCAAAATAAAAACAAACAAACAAAAACACCAAATTCTGTAGTTCAGAAGCAAATTTTGCAATAAAATAAGTTCCAAAACACTAACTAGGTTTAATAGCAGTTACAACTTTCAAATATATGTTGTGTATACTGAACTATTAAACACTAACATTCATAATTTAATAGGTAACCTGATTGGACACTTAACGTAATTCATTTTCAGTAAATGAAGGTTTTGCCTTTTCTTCTCCAACACTGTCTAAATACCTCTTGTCTTAACAGAAGGTAACTATATAACTAAAACCTATAATTTTTATTAGAACCAAAATTAACAAGAAAGCAAAACCTAAGTAGCCAAAAGAAAAAAAAATCCAAAAAGATACATAATAACAAAACACTAAACCTTGCTCTAAAGAAGAGCAAAGTAATTGTTGCTTAAGCCCTAGATAGGAAAGACCATGCCATTTGTGCTTTATCTTTTGGGACTGTCAGCAGTTCCAATCCCAAAGAGCTCAATTACTACCCTTCTTTTACTCTGCCACTTCTCTCCCTCAAAGGATCCCAACATCATTCAGGATTAAGCCTAAAACCAGAGAGAATGGAGTCAGCTAATACTGCTAAACCACAGTACGATTTGCCATTTTCCTTGAAACCTTATCCATTAAAGAAAAAAAGAGAATTATGACTTTATGACTTAGAATTGTTTAGGAAGTATACTATTTTCCTTTTTAGATAATGAAATATGCTACACTGGCAATGTATATTATCTCTTGAGATACTAATGAAGCTAAGAGAAGTAAACTCAAAAGATTACCCTAAAATATGTTCTAAAAATTTGTACTGCAGAGTGAAACAACATTATAAAATGGTCTTTTATAACCATTTTCTGCAAACAATGGATCACACATTACTACAGGCTTTAAGGTTATTCTTCAGCTTTTACATGAATTATTTTGATGTTAAGATGCACTACAAAGTGTGATAATACATATGCAAAGACCCTACTGATGTTTTAATTACCTAGAATATATTTTTGCCAAGTGTTTTGCAAGGACATGTAACATATACTCATCATTAGCACATTATATCTTCCCATTTTGAGTTCTATATTCTAACAAGTATTCTATGAAAACAACATCCTTATTTTAAACACATGTAAGGTCCTACCAAATTACCATATTTTATAATATTGGAATTCTTTGCTCCAATGAGATGGTTAATACTTAATTTTATCTTAAGTCAGTGGTCAAAAAAAAAATTTTTTTTTTTGAGTAAGTCAAGGATCAAATTTTTTGAGTACCTATTATGTACAATGCCCCAGGCTAGGAGCCATGGTGATATGGAGATGTAATGAGTACTGTCATGTCTGAATTAGGTAGACTGAAAAGAACAATTTTTAAAGACTCAACTATAAAGAAAACATTGTTTTAATCTGTCAAGAATTCTGAATGATACAATTTTACAAATATTCTATATACATAGAACATTTACACATATACGCACGTATTTCACATCTTCAGATGTAAACCAATACAATAAAATTTTATAAAAATTGTATCATGAATCTAAGGAATTATTTTAAATAATATGGTTTAAAATGATAGATAACATTTAATGAACTCTTACTATAAGCCAGGCACTAAGCTAATAGCTTTACCTGTATTATTTATCTTCCCCAAAGTCCTATGAAACAGGTAGTATTATCAAATTCATTTCACAGACAACAACACTTAAGGCTCACAAACATTAAGGATCTTACCCAAAGCTGTACTGTTACGAAAGGCTCTAAAGTCACAAAGCTACTAAAGGGTCCAAAGCCCATGCTCTTATTCACTATGTGTATTTCCTCTCCAAATTCAAATCATACTTTTCCCATGCCACTATCTCCCAAGAAAACAGCTCTGTATAATACACCTCTATCACCATAATATGAAAATCTTACAAGAAATTGCTTCACTCCACCTGCATTTTATAAGCAACTCCATAGATAATACCCTGCTCAGACTTATTTTCCACATACATATTTCATCATTTATTATTCATATTTTACTATTTGTTCCTTAACCATTTAATCTCAAACTAACCCATTTATAGCTCTTATTCGGAGGTATTGCTAATATTTATTTGCAAGAATCCCTGTATTCCAACAAACTCAATTAGCTTACTATATGCTTAAACAGCTGCATTTTAAATGAATAGAATTCTTTACTTACCTAAATTATACACCTGTCCACATCAAGAATTTTAAGAAGTTAATAAGCTATTTAAATACATTATCAAGGATGAAAGAACAAGAGATCAAGGAATAAAATGTAGGATGACTATCCCAACTCAGTAAGGTCACTGCAGCCAAGCACAAATTTAGCTGAGTTTCCCAGCAAACAATGAAAAAATGGAACCATGATTCTAGACAGTAAAGAGAATAACAGCTCATTAAGAGATTAAAATCTTTCATAACATTAAAACTTTAGAAACAGATCATAGAAGTTTTAAAAGGTATTAAAAATAATACCAAACAATTTTGTTATTGTCAAGTTTGTTTCTTTGGTGACACAGACCATCTTCACACGCAGTTATTCACACTAACCATTTCATCAAGCTTGTTATTCTCAACTGTGGGCAAGTTTGTCCCTCGGGGAACATTGGTATAGCAAGATAATATACATCTAGCTAACAGTCAACAAACAGGAGAAGCAGTGAACAGAACAAGACACAGTTCTTGATCTCACAGA